ACACGCACATTTCCCGGGGCCAAAAGCCGAATGCCCCAACCTGAATCGCTCAGCCAGCTCAAAAACCCGTGGCTCCAATGGCTGAGTAAATCAAAAATGTGCAATAAAAATTGCAATAAAGCACGCTTCAAAGGTAGCAAATGCCGTGGAGGGGAGGAGGTTTGTGGAGAACAGGGGAATTGGATGGCTGCAAACCTCATCTAAGCAACGATAATGATTGCAATTCATTTTTATGACTGCCAACTAACCGTTTCCGGGTATAACGATTCTGCAACCCAATTTGTCGGCACGCATATAACCAAATTCAATTAAACACGGAGACTTCCAACAAGCCGGAGCGTAATGAAAGCATTTTATGCTAAACGGGTCATTTTAAATCACACCTAATGTGCGGTTTAGATTTATGAATTTAACATTCAATGCTGTGCTTATCAAAATGATTTAATGCGGCTTGGAGGACCAAATTCTAGTCCAACTGACTTATGGCCTAGAATAATCAGATTTAATTGGTTATATTGCAAAGTAAAAGGTAAAAACTATTTATATAGAGGAATGAAGCCCCGAAGGGAGCTTAGAAAATTCCGGAAGATGTGTATTTTTAAATTGAGAACCTTTAGCTTCTTTATGCATTCCACATTAATATGAGTGCACCAACGATGATATTTACCTAGGCAATTTGCCCATTGACTCCATAACAGTGCGACATTCGTGACTCTGGGAGCAAAAAGGGCATCTAAACAAACACTAGAAATTCCAGCGAGGACCGCCCTTTAGCTTATTTTTAGTCGCGTGGCCAGAAGTGGCCAGAATGGCCAGGTTGAAGTGGCAGGTGGTGTACGGGTGTGCAGGGCACCTGTCGTCGCCAATCAACCTTGACTAGAACTGGGCGTTGCAGGGTGGGAGGGTCACTGGCGTTACTAACATAAGAGTCAGTTCGGCACAAGGCTGCCTTTTGCTGCTGCCACACTGAGGTAAATATTTGTAGGCAACTTGGAATCTGAAAATCACTTTAAACGGTGTCATGTATGCAGTCATATCTCAATAATATTCATTTACAATGAACACCTCCCTTAACTGCTTTCGCTGCGTACTTTTAGCAACTTTTTAATAACTACCTACCTAATGATGTAGGTTTGCAGATCGGAAAACAGAGTTATAAACATAATTAAGAGACTTAAATAATTAAACTTAGATTTGTTTATTATAACTTTGTAATTGTTATTTTTTCAGTGATTTGATACTTTTGGTTGGCTTTGGATGCGGTTTGCTTGGTTGGTTGGCCAGCGATTTTCCAATAAAATGAAATTGCATTTGATGATGCCAGGATGTTTTTTTTCCAATCATTCTGATATTTTCGCCCTCACCCGTTTTGTTTTCCCATGCTGTTTTCCTTCACCCCTGCCATTTATAGAAAATTGAATAAAAGTGTTGGTGGCATTGCGACAAACTGGTGGACGAATGAGCGCGTGATTGGGGGCGATTTGTAGAAAAGTGAAAGCCGGCTCCTGGCCACCACGACCCGGGACCCAGGACCCAGGACCTAGCGTCCTGCCAACGAAGGAAGTGATTAGTGTAGCGCTGCTCGACGGCTTCCTTGCGTGAGTCGCGGCATCCTGAGAGCCACGGAAACAAAGCAAACACGGCGCAGCGGAGAAATCCAATTTGTAATGGGTAGCTGGCCAAGTTACCTTTGATTTCATTGTTTCACCGGGTTGGCTAGCACACACAGACACCCTCACACATTTTAAGGACTTTTGTAAACATTTTTCACATATTGTGCGGCAAATAGAAAAATCTGAAAAAATTCTGATCCAACCAAGATGCATTCGACCAAGATTAAAGAGGGCGATGACAGGGTGAGTTGGCCATTCTATTGGCAGTCATATGTGTTGGCCATTAAACGTGGTCAACTAATTTGAATGGCGCTATTTAGGAGGAGATGGAGCTAAACCAAATCTGGCGAGGATGTCGTAAAATCCAGGGCGCCATTTTTCGTTATAACTTTGACATCTGCGCCGACCTAAAACAGCACGATCCCTGTTGCAGTGGCTTCGTGTCCGGTGAGCACATCCTTGGGATGTATTTCCCTTTTTTATTACGCCCCTTTTACGACCTAATCCATCTTCTCCAGAGCCCATCTTCACGGCCGTACTGGGCAAGTATCGCAAGGTGGCCGGCATGTCTGAGTCGGAACTGCGGGATGTCACCGATTACTTCCAAATTCGAGATGGACGCGTGGCGTATCGTCAGTTTTGCAAGGTGGTCTGCAGCGAAAGTAAGTTGCATGTTAGTCAATCGTATCTTTGGTCCAACTATTTAACGTATAATTCAAGCACTCCATAAGACTGCCAAAAGTGATCTAGCCACGGGACTGGAGTGGAACGATCCCTGGCATGTGAATGTTTTACCCCAGCCGGAGGATCGTCGACGTCTCTGCCTGATTCTGCTCAAGATTGCCCAACTATGTAATATACCGCTCATGCCCTACTTTCAGGACTACGAACTGGTGATTGATTTGCCTTTATTCTATGTCTTATACCCATCTTATTAATGGGTAACTGTCCAATTCACTTGCAGATTGCCCAAAATGTTGGAGTCGTTACAGTCGCGCACTTTTCACGCGTGCTGCACTTCATGAAGATACCGCTGTCGGAGTCCGATTTTCTGCTGCTCCTTAGACGATATATGAAGGACGGCTACCTGGTCAACTATGTGGCTTTCCTCAAGCACATCGATAATATTATAGCATACCTAGGCGAGCATCATTTGCTGGACAACTCCCATGTAAGTGTCATCTTCAATGCTGAAGAATTCGCGCACATGATGAAATGTGTACCATATGTAGGACATAATCAAGGACTTCCCGGGACGTTTAGTGGATCTAGAACTTTCCCAACTGCCAGCTATAGATGGTTGCAAAGCAGTGCATCCCATATTTCCCGATGCTTGCAGTACACCCAAAAAGAATCGAAATCAGTGCGACATTCTGTTCTGCATTCAGAACTACATCTACAAGAGCCAAGTGCGCACCTCTGAGTTTCTAGAGAGCTACGACTCCCTAAACGTAGGTAGCATCACCAAGAACCAATTTGAGCGTGGTCTATCCAACATGGGAGTGGGAAAATATCTGACCCAAAGGGAAATGTCCATTCTGCTGGAACGCTACACTGATCCGGTGGATACCAATCGAGTGCGTTGGCGCAATTTCGCTGATGAGATCGATACAGGTGGAGTGTTATGAACCCTATAAGCAGTATACTTTCTATACACAGTTCTATCATTTTAGTATTCACCATTAAGAACCTGGAGAAGATGCCACAGTGTGTCGTGGAATCGCCACTTCGTCACATCCAGGAGTTGCCCAGACCAGGAGCAGTGCCCTGGGAGACTGTGCCGACGAATATCCGTGATCTGTGTGAGGATGCCATGGGCAAGATTAGGATACGCATCCGCAATCGTCGCCTCTATCTGCATCCGTTCTTCCGAAGCTACGATAAGTAAGTTAACCGATATTATCTTGTCTGAAGGTAAAGGAAAGCGAACTATTTTCTATTCTCTTTCCAGACTCAACAGTGGACATGTGCGCTGCAACATTACCAAGCAGATCTTCCGCACCAATGGCATCCTCTTGTCCGATCCGGAGCAGGACTCTGTACTGAGTCGCTATGGAAACGAGCTGGGCTTCTGCTACACCAAGTTCTTGGACGACGTCGACCCGGCGGAGTATGCCATGCCAGCGATGGTCACCAAGCAGGAACTGGTGGAGTGTCCGCCGTTTGCGAGGGACAATTTGGAGCCAGAGGATATCAGCGAGGAGGTCATTGTGCGCATCCTTACGAACGCCAAGCGACAGGCTGTGGTCAAGAGTGTGGCCGTCATCGAGTTCATGAAGGACTACGATCGCCATCGCGAAGGCGAGATCCTTGAATCGGACTTTAAGCGAGCGCTGGACAACTCAAGTGTTATCATCAAGGAAGAGGAAGCCAATATCTTGTGCAATATGTGAGTTACACATTCCGTTTTATATCCTTAAAACATGCTATAATATCTCGCCTAATCAATTCCTTCCACATGACCAGCTTCCGTTCACCAAATCGCGTGTCCTGTGTTCGCTATCGCGATTTCTGCAAGGCCCTCGACGAGATCTTCATCCAACTGGACACGCACTTGGGTGACCAAGTGGTCACCGCCGTGCCACTGCTCCACCTGCCCAATCTGGACTGCGTCGACTGCTTCCTGAGCTTCGACGAGCGAACCATCTGCTCACAGGCACTAATGAAACTCGCCCGCAAACCGGACGAAATCTCCAATCTGAGCCAGGTGTTCAAGGACTTCGATCGCGAACAGTGCGGCTCGATCACACAGAATCAGTTCCTGCGCGGCATCACGGTGCGCGACATGCATGTAATGCTGAGCAGCCGCGAGTTCCAAGCCATCTGCAAGTGCTTCGGCGTGAAGAAGGGCATGTGCATGGAGTTCAACTACCGCGAATTCCTTAAAATCCTGGACGTGCTCTTTAGCACCGGCCAGATGAAGCGCAACTATTAGGAGTTATTAGAGCTATTAGAAAGCCTCTCCAAATTCGAAGTGTACCCCATTTGGTGTTCCTAAATTTCTGAATATCACCAGGCAAATAAAAAACAATTTGTCGACTTTTAATTTAGATTTTCTTTAATGTAATGTTCGCTTTAAAACTGCCTGATCTCCTTTCGTTCAATTAGGTTGTAATTTCGCTTGAGAATGTTTTATTTTTCAAAGGGAGAAATCTACGCTTTCACACGCATTGTATTGATTTCCTTGAAATGCTACCTAAACTGCCCGTCCAGCACACATCGCATTTATGATCTGCTATCCATTCAGCTTGACGGTCGGACGATTTCATAAAGATTTTCATAGAGCTATAGTAGTGTATACATAGATAGATTTGATTTAACAATTCGCATTCTTGCAGTGGTCTATACAATTGTGGGGGTGTACGTAGAGAGATAATGTTCTCGCAGTGTGGCTTTAGATTTTTATTAAAATATAAATCTCTTCCCTTTCAGAAGTGTACATAAATATAGATGCATTATGTATTATGTATGTATAAATGTAGTCTATGAGCGTAATACAAATATCCGAAAACGAAAACAAAAACTAATCCCGTTTCCGCTTTCTGCTTTGTATTAGTTAGTATTATGTAATATGGTGGTTTTGTTTGTTGTAGGTTGTTTCTGCTTTGTTGTCTTGTCTTGTCGTATATCGTATATTTTATATATTGTATATAGTTTTTCAATCGAACGGGAAGAAGGCAACCCGATGTGCCAGCCAGTCAACGCTTGCTTCTTTTGTTTGTTGGTTCTATAATTATTATTACATATTACAGTTAATTCATAATTAAAGTTAAACAAATACTTATACTCTATTGTGTAATGTATGAAACATTTTAGCTGTATTTTGTTTTGTTTTGTAAGTATTTTTGTTTGATTTCTTCTTTTCTTTCCTATCTCTCCGACTTCCTGTGCTACTGACGCATTAAACAATTACCTCGCATAATGTATGGGACTACATTAGAAAAACAAATTAGTTTCGACACACAGGCAACGTGAGCATTGCATAGCATTTAGTTTGGCAAATGTTGTTTGCCACGTTCCCTGCAATGTTGTCTTGTGGTTTTACGCGGGTTGAAGGGTTGTTTGGTGGGCGGTTGGTTGGTTGTTTGGTTGGTTTGTCGGCTTAATGAGCGTGTGGCTATGAAAAATTAGCCACTTGCTGAAAAATTACATGTGTGTGTCTCTACGCCTAACTATTTGTGTTTGGTTTTTGTAGTGTTTTTTGTTTTTGTTTGTTTTTCTTTGTTGTGGCTTGCTTTGTATGGTATAAATGATGCTTTTTAACTCTCGATGCTGCTGCTGCATATGACGCTCTCTTTTCTGTTGCTGTTGTTGGAATGGTGCTACACATCAAGTGTGTAAAGGTGTGTAAAGGTAGCTGATGTTGATATTAGTGCTCCCAGCCAGCCAGTCTCTTCATTTACTTTTTTCCTTATTTCTTTCATACAGATATATACAACGGCGTATATATGCGGTTACCCAGATGGTGTTGTTGTAGAGATGTGTGTTGCTTCTTTTAGTAATGCTGCAATGAAATGAACTTTGATTAACTGGCACCAGAGCGTGTATGGTTTCAAACTCACCATAACAAACTAAACTAGGTAAAATTCAAATAGTTTGCAGTTATCTGGAGAATGCGAGATACCCAATGCCCACGCCCCCTGCCACCTTTTTAGTAGGGCTGGTGCCGCTGCTGGCGTCCACCGCCTCCGCGCTGCTTGCCACCGTTAAAACCGCCGCCGCCGCCTGTTTTGGAAACGTTTGGAAAGTGTGCAAGGCATTAGTCGGTTAAATCGAATCGAGTATCGGTTTATATCAGGCAAAAAGAAAGACATGCTCAACATCTGCGGAAAGGGAAGGAAGGGGTTTATCTATAGAGTTCATTAACTACGCCAAACGACTTCGGTTTTCTTTTTTTGGAAATTTTGACCAATTCTAGTGGGGGGGGGGGGCGCACACAGCATAGCAAAATAAAGTAAAACATAAGTCATGAAAAGCCAATGTAGGAAGGATAACCAAAAACGATGAAACTGCTTTACAAACATAAAAAAATCATTTCAAATGAACTACACTATGTAGTATTATAGGAGGGATGAGGGCCCAACAATTCGTTGGTTACAGATAGTTTTCGCTAGGCGCTTCTTAGTGTTAATACCTTTGGGGCCGCCGCCGCCGCGGGGTCCACCGCGACCACCGCCCATATTGCCACCACCGCCTCCGCCGTAGCCGTTACCCTCAAAGCCGCCGCCGTAACCGTATCCGTCTTTTGGTTGCAATGGCATTTCGTGGTGCAATCAATCACACACAAAGGTGTCGTTGTTTGCGCAGATTGGGTCGTACAGAAAATTGATGAAAACACAAACAAAGCTTATCTTATAAAATGGTGTAAAACGACACGAACAAAAATAAGATGGGTCTCAATGGTACTGCCAACTACTTTAGCCTAAATTATTGCCAAGACACGTGACCCAAGTAGTCACGACTTGATTCTAATTCCATTTTGATTCGATTCTTCACATTTACTAACAAGTTTTCAGTATGAGTTCAAAAATGTTTAGTAGCCTCATTTGGCACAATTTACTAGGAGAAATGCCACTTTTAGTGGCTAGTTGGCAGGACTTTCGGTGGAGTGGAACTTTACTTGGATCGGGGGATTGTATTCTTTTACTTTTTCGCTTGGTCAAAATTTGTAGTGTTCAGTTTTGGAGAACGCCGACGAGCCGAGGGGAGACAATTCAAATGGCACATACCGAGCGAGCTGGAAAGGAATCACCTGCTCCGGATCCGGAGGAGAGTGTGGTTGGTGTGGTTGGGTGAGATCAGGGGTGGGTTGTGGACGGAAACTGAAATACACACAAAATTGTTGTCTGGTTTTTGTTTTTTTTTTTTCGTTTTTCTTTTATTTGCTCATTTCTTGTTTGTGGATTTTGATTATAAGAATGATGGTTAAAATGTTGCTCTAACATTTGGTTGTTGATTGTTGTAGCTGTTGGTTGCTGGTACACAATAAAAATTTAAAAAAACAATTTTCGCTCGCTTTCCTCTTGCAAATGGCGAGAAAACTGGCGCAAGGCGGCGCTCACACATACATGCGGTTCGATTGGATTGGTTGTTATTTCGCTTGGTTATATATAATTATATAATATAACTCTGGTTGTTGTCTCAGATTTTGGTTAGTTGTCGACCGGACGCGACTCGACTTATTAACATGTTTCACAATGTATTGCAATGGATTTCTCAATTCAATTCATTCGATTTCTCATTTCTTTACAGCACTCGTTATGCATTTATGTTTTTTTAATTTTTACCTCATTTTCCACACAACAATTTCAGCATTTCAATTTCAAATTAATTACTTTGTAAATGTTTGATTGAATATATTCGGTAAATAATTTTGTAAGGTTTTGCCAAAAAAATTTGTGAATTCATTTGCTGCTCTTGTGTGTGTGTATTTTGAATGTCTCACCTCAGCAAAAAGTAATAAAATTATCATTTTTTCGTGAATTTTCTTTTATAGCATTCCCTTTAAAGGATCTTCGGGAATTACAAGGGTCTGGGGGAAGGGGAAGGATGAGGATGCGGAGTCTGTCGCGAATATATTGTTATATTTTTGCGTGTCATAGAAAACGTTTTGCGAAAAACAAAAACAAATGCAAATAGTCAACAAATTTTACTTTATACTCGAGTTAATATAATGATTATAATAATTACTCTTCGTGTTCATTGTTGTTGTTGTTGTAGCTGTTGTTAAAAACAAGAAAACTGGATTTGTAGCTTAAGAATTGTCTCAGAATCGGCTTGACAATATATTAATTCGTTCATTACTTTAGTGGTTCCATTATATTATCATTTCATCTTTCTTCTTTTCTTTTTTTTTTTTACGAGTTTTTCAATGCATTTTTACTAAGAACAAATATTAATTACGCTAAGTTACTTGTAAATATATACGTTTTAAATGTAATAGAAAAAGAAAGATTTAAGTAAAAAATGAAAAACGTTACAGTTAAGTGAAAAGTTAACACTGTTGGTGCGGTTTTGCTTTGCGGATCGCTCGATTGCTCGATCTCTGGTCGCGTGGTTGCCTGATAGCCTGATTGCTTGATTACTTGATTGCTTGCTTGGTTTTGGATGTCGGTGGATAGTAGATGGATAGTGGCTCTACTGGTGTGGTTCTCACCAAAGACCCTCGGTCACCGGTGGTATCGGTTACCGGGTCGGTCGGGCAATCGGTTAACCGCTTGCGAGAAGCTTGGACAAGACAAAGGCGCGCAGCTTGCGATCGTTTTTGGATATTCGCTTTTGGGTGGTTGGTGGCTGTGTTTTGAGTTGAACTCTCATTGGGGTTTTTCTTTACTTATGTTTTGGGTTCGTTTAGTTTGCTTTTTTTTTCGTTTTTGTGAGGCGAAACATCGGAAAATTCGGTATTACAATCATATAATCGTATATAAATATGTTCAAAAATCATAATTACGAAAGTAATATTACATAATTAACGGATACAAATGCGGGGAGTGGTAACCGAAACACCCGTTCTGGTAACTTGGCATTTATTCATCAGATCTAACTCGGTGTTTAAGCTACAGCTCCCCGCACTTTTCTGTGGTCTGGTTGTTAGTTTTAGAATTTCAAGTTGTAGAGTAACGGAATAGGAAATTATAAAGACTAAGAATATATTGTTATTAGGGTTTTAATATAAAGTGGGGGCACAAAATTATTGCTATATAATTGTATGGTAAGTATATGTAAAGGTATACAAAAATTTTGTTTATATCAAAAAATTTTGTTTACACATTTAAACATCATAATAATCGGTATAATAATTAATAAAAATATAGCATAAAATGTATAAAAACTTTTTCTTGCTTGGATAACTTTAATATAAATGTCAATTAATTTTTTTTCTTATCTTGCTTAGATTTTTTTGTTTAGTTTTCTTTGTATACAGACAACTTGCTAAAAACATTGAGAAACATGCAATTTTTTGTAAAATAATTTACTCAAAGTTCATGAATAAAGATGTATGTAAATGTACAAATGTATATATAATTGGTATACAGTCAAATTGTCGACGCACATAGACAACATTTGCATCATTAGCAATATTTCATTTCAGGATCTGCTCAATTTCAAATTCAAAGTTATACGAATTATACGAGGTATTTATATATACATTTGCGAATAGCAATGCTTGTGTATGTGTGATTTGTTAGTGTTGCTCGACTTAACATTTAAAAACCATAAGAAAAAATTATATATGTATATATGCTTGAATTAAAATTACTAAAATTGACGAAGTGTGTTTTTATTATTCGTTTTTTGTTGGAAAAGTTGCATTTTGTACTGCTACAATAAAGATGTTGTTGATGTCGCTATTGCCAGTTGTTATTACTTGTCGTTGTTCAGTAAGTTAGTTAGTTGTTTGTAGTTCTTTATCCTTTATCCTGGAATCAACGTATGAGCATGCTGAATGCCGCAATGCGCTCGCGGTGCAACTAAAACAAGCCTCAAAAATGGATTGTTTCGACATTACGTTACGTTTTGGTCAAGAAAGTGCAGCGGAAATGCAAGTAAAGCAAATAAAAGAACGATCTAACGAATGAGGCCGGGGGTGCTGCAGTGGTTCCACCGGAATGATAATATCCCGGATCCTCTGCGCTGACTTTTTGGACCCCGACCTTCAGATCTGAAGAGCTTCGGTTGTTGTGCTCTTTTCGTATTGTAGTTGTTTTTTACAAGGATTTGCCTTAAAATAATACTATCAAAAATAGTACCATAGTTAAATGTTACGTTTTATGTATAAATATATAACATTTGTATATATTTTATATAAATATATATGGTAGGTATATTGACGTATGGAGCATACGAAAACATATGCATTGCAAAGAACGTGAATATTATCCCGTTGCCGGAATAATAATATGTATCTAAAAATATATTTATATGCTATATATAAGGTATATATATTTAAATAGACATTGAATCAAAGCTTTGATTACGCATTTCGTGTGTTTTGTTTTGTGTTTGTTTGTTGTCGTTTCTGTTCTGGTTGGTTGTTGTTTAGTGTTTTGTTTAACAAAACAAAAAGGTGAACATATTTAAATAACTATTTTATGGGAGTGCTGGGGGAAAAGTGGGTCGTTGTGGGTGTGTGTGTTGTGTGGTGTGGGTGTTTGTGTGTTTCAACAGATTTTGGTTTCAGTTGGTTCAAACAATAACAGTTTAGTTAACAATTAAAAAAGGCACAAGTTGCAATTGCGCAAAAGGCCAAAAACACTGGCATTTCACACAGTTTCACATAATTGGCACATGCTCCTCTTGTGTTTCATGTTTCTTTGTTTGTTGTTATGTCTGGGGTTGCTGTTCTTCTGGTTGTTTGTTTGCTGCCCTTGCGTTTGAGGTATTTGTCATCTTTGGAAAGTCTGTTGAAGGCAACCAGGTTGTTGTTCATGTGGTTGTTGTTGTTTGATTGGTCCGGTCTGGTGGTCGCATATAAATGGCAGGATAGTAGCATTATATATGCCTCGACTTGAACGTCACGTCTACTTTTCTCATCGCTCCTTCTCACTCTTTTAACAACACATCTTTTTTTACACACGCTTCGTCAGTTTTATGTTTAAATGCTACTCAACTAATAATTGGTAATTAAATGTTTCGTTTAAATGAATTCTCGTTTAAAAGGTACGCTTTAAAATTTAAACATCAAATATATGCCTTTAAAATTATACGTAGGTTTATATATAATAAGATAGATATAAATGTGTATATAAAAATTGCGATTTTGCTTGTTATATTAAATGATGAAAATTCTCTGTCAAAATACACATTTTTTTTTTTTTTTTTTTAATATAAAATGAACTATTAAAATTTATATGTTAGCATTAAAGAAATGTTTCTTGTTTTCTCTTTCAAATCTACAATTTTTAAAAGTTTTCTTGTTTTTAGCGACGTTGCTTTCGTAGTTGTTGTTCTTGTTCATCTTGTTGTTGTTTTTGATGTTGTTGTTCTTTGACATCATATACCACATGATTAATATGCAAATATGCATAAAGATAATGCATGCGGTATATAAGCATATATAAATATATATGTTACTATATATCGAAATGCACCTAAACTTTTTTGTTTTTGTTTTTCTCTCAGTTTTGTTTGAATGGGAAACACAACAACGTGGAAATTTGGATCAGATCAGGTCTATGGCAAAAATTAGAAGGTTTATATGTTCTGCGGTTGTTGTTGCTTGCTTTGTTTGCTTGATTATTTCTTTCTGATTTTTTTTGCTGCCAGATTTATACGGCTGAGCGCTACTTAGAACTGCTGATAGTTGTTGCTATTGTTCTTGTTTTGATGGTAATTACTCGACGTGTTGTTATTGTAATAATTGCTTTGAGCACTACTTTGTTGTTTGTTGTATTTACCATAACCGTAGTCATATCCATTATAGTAGCCGCCGGCATAGTAGTCGCCATAACCACCGGCACCATATCCGCCGTAGCCGCCGCCATAGCCGCCGTAGGATCCCTGTCCGTCCCATTGGTTGTTGTAGCCTAGAGTATGTAGTGATGGGTAGTTTAGAGGCGATATCCATTAGGAGCGCGAAGAACTGATGTACTAACCTCCACGTCCTCCGTAGCCACCGCGTCCGCCGCGCATACCGCCGCGTGGGCCTCCACGCATACCGCCCATTATCTGGTTCTCTGGCTTGGGCGTTGCACGCTTAACATCGACCTCCTTGCCGGCGATCTTCTGCTTGGGCGTCTTCAGCAGATCCGTCACCACCTGCTCCGAATCGAAGGTGATGAAGCAGAATCCCTTGCGCTGTGACTTTTGCTTGTCGAATGGCATCTCGACCTCGACGATCTTTAAACAAGAACAGTTTAGGTGAGTCGTCAACACATATTAATGATAGAACGCTTCAGGGATACTCACGTTGCCAAACTGTCCAAAGTAGGTTTTAATCTCCTCATCGCTGATCTCTGTGGTGAGGCCACCGACAAAGATCTTGCCGTGCCTGGCCTTGGCTTTCTTGGGATCGACCTTCTTGCTGTTGATTATGTGCTCATCGGCGGCGCTGACCTTGTCAATGGCCTCGGTGTTTGTGAACACGATGAAGGCGAATCCTCGGGAGCGACCGGTCTGGGGATCTGTCTTGACATTGATACTCTCGATCTCGCCATATTTGCCGAAGTGATCGCGCAGTTCCTCTGGGGAAATAGGAAATGACTTGTTAACATCTGTTCACTTAGTTATAGTTTTATACTTACTCTCAGTCGTTTCCCAGCTCAGACCACCGACAAACAGTTTTCTGTGAACGTTTAAAGATCAATTGGTTAGTTTGATATTATCTTAAAACATTTCTAGGTCGTTTGAGGGAATATTTGGGGCGGGAAAAAAGGTATATAACTGGGTAAATCAGGCACGAAAATAGGTTGTGTTTGATGCGCGAGGCAAATACTTTCTTGATTTACTTTAAATTTTTCATCTCTTACTGATTTTCGTATTGGCTGCAAAAGAATTGATGACAGAGCAAGAATACAAAACGAATAAAAAAAACTCACCAAATTTGAAGTGAAAAATTGCTTTAGTTACTGTATTGCAATCAAAGAATTGATCGGATAGTGTCAAAAAACTTGCAAACTCGGAATGAGCGAAAGAGTTCGAGGAGCGAGCGAGCGATCGATCGAGAGACACAAAACGAGCGAAAGATATAGATATATAGTATATATAAGATATGCAAGAGTGAATTATTAAGATTTTGTTTTGGGTATACTTAAGAGTCTTTGTTTGTACAAATAACAATTAACAATTAGTCTTTATTCAATAGGATGATAAAAATAATGCAAAGGTTTTTATGCTGGATTGTGGTTAGTTTTACTTGCTTTATTTGGCTGTTTATTTTATTTTCTATTTTTTTTTATATAAAAAGGAATGTTGAAAAAATATGCATAGACACTTATAGTTTACTGTGATGTACGTTACTCTCATAGATCTGGACTTTTTGGAAAGATATCTCAGCGTTCTCGGCGATTCCCGGCAAATTTGGAACAGTCTTGTCACACGGCGGCGGAATTTCGATTGCAATTTAGTGATTGTGCGTCATTTTTGTGGCAATTCGTTACGTTACATTCGTTCTTTGTGTTTCTTTCTTCGGGCGATATATAATATATAGTTTTCTGAGCTTCATAAAAACAAACGAAAAAACTGCGAGTCTCTTTTTCACTCGGTCTCTCTCTGTCTCCCATTACTTTGGTTGGTACTTTTTTTTTTTGTCTTTCTTTTTTCAGGTAATTTACAAGTTATACGTTAAGAGATACAATATAATATATATTCGTATACAGTTTACATATGGATCCAATTTTAAATCGAGATAATTTGTTGATAATTTTGTGTGTCGATAGTTCTATATATTGGCTGACTGACTGATTGATTGTTTTAGTTTTGGATAGATAAATACCATCAGCATCAGTATCGGCGGAGCGGAGACTTTTGGAGACTGGAGTGTGGAGAAGGTTGCATATCCTCCAAGTATAAGTCCGCCGAATCCGAATCCGTAACCGTTTGCCGGGGGCAGGAATACGAATCCAAATCCAAATCCGAATCCATATCCGTATCCGACTTGAGCATAGCTTAAAACCCTGACCCGGGGCATTTCACTTCTCTCAAAACCTGTCGGAGAGGAACAAGGTTAGTTCGCTCACAAGACAACAGGATAAGCTATGATTTTGGATTTAATTTCTCCATTGCGTCCTTTTACGGGGAATTCTCTGCATCTTCTTCGTCAGCGCTGGTTTCGTGTTATCGTTTTAATGTACAGCATCGTGTGACTTAAGATTAAACTTAGATATAAAATGATCATAAAGGATGGGCAAATGAAGTGTACACTAGACCTAAAACCAAAACGAAGGGGAGCAAAAAATAGGTGGGCAATTCTACTTGGTCATCATCAGCTCAATGCTTTAATCCATAAAAATTATTATTCATTTACAAGTTACATTAAATTTTAGTTCAATTCATATTTTGGCGCCTTGGCAACTCTAAACGACGCCGGCTTTCGCTCTCTGACAGTAAGAGAGCGCAAAAGAGATGGCGAGCGGGAGCTGGAGCGAACGAAGCCGGCAAGCAAAAGAGAATAAGTGAAAACTGCAAAACACACACGCACATACAGAACAGCAGGCGTTAGGTTGGTATGTATGCCTGTATGCAGCCGCCATTTTGGGTACAAAACTGGAAGAGCACTAAATAACAACGAATAGCCGAACCAAAGAGTAATGCGAATTAAAAAGAATACACTGACAAATACAAACATAACTTTTTGCAACGTCTTTTTTTCGCCACATTTTTTCAAGTGAAAGGTAACCGTATGTTTTTGTGTTCGTATGCGTCATAGTGTGTGAGTGGGGCAACGTGGGTAACAAACATAACCTCACAAAGGGGAGAAAATGTGCTCCAAACTGAAGAAACTCTGGTTTTCATTGAGGAAACTGTGAGTGTGTGTGGAGGGGGAAAACGTTGAAAATTTTCCATGGCTCACAAGACTGTGATGATGCATTTTGCCCCGAAGATTCTATTAATATTACTGAAGTACAGTCGCACCGACACCTCACACACACACACAAACACAACGACGCACGAGCGCAAGCGAGAGAGAACACAAAAGGGGTCAGACTTCCCCCGCAGAACCCCGAAAAACCTCATAAAACTCGACCAACGACGTTAGCTTCGCATTTACGTAACAGAGTAGGCAATATACATTATATAGAAGCAGAAAATCTTTGGGGCACATGATCATCGGCTGCCCGTTGCAAAAGAGAAAGAGAACAAAAAAAAAAACGTATCCGCTGGATAATGGACATACCTGTCGTCGTCCCGCTGGCCGGATGCGCCCGATTGGTTGTCCGAACTGCCGTTGGTCGAGCCGGCGGCGCCCGCATCACCATTTTCAGATCCCGGACCGTCGGCAGTCACGTCCTTGGTGAAATCCTCGCCGTTCATCTCCGTATCCACTTGCTTGTTCTCGGCCATTTTGTGTGTTTTTGTTTGTTCCACTAATTTCGGGGGCTAAGCAGCACGATTTTTGTTTTTTTTTTTTACGCAAAGCCGGAGATTTTTATACACACTCGCCAAAAAGTCGCGCGTACGAATGAAATGACGACCGGAAAATGACAAATGCAAGCGACAGCGTGTGTATATGGGTGCGGCGTTGCCACCTTGATGACATGCCAGTCGAGCCGATTTGGTATTATTTTGCTAACTACTTGTATTGTATTTGCCTGCTCTACCTGACGAACGTAAGCTTGACAGTAGAAAGGTATTATGTTGGGGTTTTTCAGTACTATACCACCCCAAATCAGACATTAAAAGGAGTTTTTTCGGCGCGTGACCTGCCTGTCTGCAGTATGGCAACCCTGATTTATGCAATGTACACACACCTATAAAATGGAAAATGATGAAATACTGAAAAGTTACCAAAAATATATTAGGGCCCAGTTTACACAATAAATAAGATATGTGTAAGCACGTTTTATTTTATTGTACAACTGTATTAATATATAATATATATATAATTATAATATAACAATAATATAATATATATATATATTGAGTTTTTTAATGATTAAATTAAATTAAAACAACAGTATTAAAAGTAACCACTATGAGCTAGAAACACAGGAAACACAATCAATAACATTGAACTCTTATAAATTTGCATTTTAATGTTCTTTTCTTAAATTTAATTCATTTAATTTTATATGTTTTTAAGTTTTATATGTTTTTCTTCCGGATACACAACTTATCTTTAAAAGTCTTGGTCTATTTGATAAGCTAAATGTTTTGTTCAAATAATTCAGTTTCAACTCCATATACTGAAAATAACGAAATTAAAAAAAAAAACATTTTAGGAATCTATGTATTTAAAAGCAAAACTACGCGCCAACCAATGTTGATAAAAACATTCGATCGAAAATACCAGATTCTCCACCCCCAAAAAAAAGTGTGCACACACCTTTAAAAAAGCCGCCATCACACACCAACACACGCGAATCCAAGAATTAAACGGTGCAGAGTCAAAAAAGAGGAAAAGAGGAACGAACGTCGGTTCTCTTCTCGATTCAACACATTTGTCCAATTTCATTGCGTTTGCGATTATTTTCTACACAAAAGCCACAACCTATGCATCGTAACTTAATTCAACAACAACTGTGATCGCCAAACATCGGAAAATAACAAAAAAGCACTTCAAGAATTGCCAAGTTAGTTATTCTCAAGAAAAAGTAAAAAAAATTGCAACAAACTAGACAAGTGTGTGTGAGAGAGTGCATTGGTGTGCGTGCCTGTGTGTTTTGTGTGCAGCCAGCAATTTTGTATTGCATTTTATACGTTTCGACCATCGTTTAGTAAACCCAATAAAAAAAACCGCATTATTTCAGCGCTCCACTAAAAATCCAACTCTCCCCGCCCCCGCAGGAAGATAACAAAGAAAAGTGCTACGAAAAGTGCCGATTCTTTGGCAAACTTCAACCCAAAAGCAATACATACTGTGCATTACAAAAAGGAAAAAGAAAAAAGAGGAGATTTAAAAAAAAAAGAAAAAGGTGAGCCGGCGGCGGCCTCGTGTGCGCGGTCTAGAAAAACTAGCATTTTCCATTTTCATTGGGGTGGCGCATACTACGAAAAAACGGCATACAAAATGTTTTGTGGGCGTTTAATTTTAATTTTTTTTGCCCCAGGGCTCCAATTCTTTTTACCATTTTAGCGGCTTTTTTTCATTATCGCTTGCGCATAACCTAAAAATGTACGAAAAATGTTGTTTTTGTAAATTTTTGTTTAAATGCTGCTCTTCAACTATAGCTTTCTTTGTTCTTCCTACACACGCGGTTCGCAAGCAGAAATAGAGAGGGAAAAAGAGAACGTGAGAGAGTGGCGCGTTCATAACCCAATAAGTGTGCATATGCGTGTGTGTGTGCCGCAACTCTTTGTGCATTATTTGTTTTATCGGCAAATGTTGATTACTAAAATGGGGCAAAGGACACCTGCAAACTATGTTATATCCTTACAACTTCGAAAGTTAGTTAAAGTCGTACTGTAAGGCAAAAATGTTATATTTTTTCTAAGCTGGAGTTCATTGAATGCGGCGCCACAACCTTGAGACCCGAACATAACCTCAATTTAATTCATGCTCCCCGCTCGGCGGCTTCTTTTTTTTTTTTGCCCAATTGTATGAGGTCATTTACTCGCACATACACACCCACGTGCTAAGCTCACTCAGTCAGGATCGCGGGTATAAATCTTGGAGCATGTACAGGGTTAAATGTCCTGCGACGGCAAGCGAAATGGAATTTTGCCTGACAGCTGCACTACACCAAATTTCCCCTTTTTCGCATGTGCAAATGTGTGTGGGCCACAAAAGTGGGTCAAATTGCAGCGCGCTGCGTCTTTTTTATATGCACTGCGGTAAAATGAGCTCCCTTTTGGGGGGACACAACTTCCCCCTCCTCCTACCCCTCATCATTATGACTAAGTGAAACACTAGATCCTTATTGGAGAGCACAGCAGGGGTCAACATTTTAGTGGTCGGAAGAGTGTACAAATTCATGTAAAAGAAAATAGTTGAATTCTGATAAACATTCAGGGCTAATTGTCAGCAAGGACCATCTATAAATCGGATTAGATTAGATTTTAAGTTTCTTATACTTAGCTACCTCTCTCTTAATAAATCTAAATTTTTTGAAATTAAATGTGCACGCGATGAAATTAACTGATAACGCAACGGTGTAATCACTATCTAAAACAATTTTGTTGAACAATTTGTGTTAAGTTATTTAAAATAGCTTTTTGAGATTGTAAATAACAGAGTAACCGCTTCCTTAGATTTCAAATGATCAGATTGAGAAATCAACACTGCCGTCTAGGACTATTGCTAACTTTTGTAGTTCAAAAACCAGAAAGATCTTCTGTATTTTAATACATTAATATCAAAGTGCGCGTATATTTTTTGCACTATTTCGCAGACGTTCAAATCCCACACTCTCGAGTTCAAACAATCGACAGCGATCAGCCACCGTGTCGAGAGTGCCAACCAACAGCTAGAAGGAAAACAGAAATTGGAAGCGTAGACAAAGAATCCGAGTCGAGGAGTCCGTAGTTCAAAGAGGAAGAATCAAACGCCAGCTATGGTCATGGATGCGACCCAATCGCAGCAGCCTTCGCCGCAGTCGGTGGGACTCGAGTTTGTCCGCCAATACTACACGCTGCTGAACAAGGCGCCCAAGCACTTGCACCGCTTCTATAACCACAACTCGTCGTACATCCATGGAGAGTCCAAGCTGGTGGTCGGCCAGCGCGAGATCCACAACCGGATCCAGCAGCTGAACTTCAACGATTGCCACGCGAAGATCAGCCAGGTTGATGCTCAGGCCACGTTGGGCAACGGTGTGGTCGTTCAGGTCACCGGGGAGCTATCCAATGATGGGCAGCCGATGCGGCGCTTCACCCAGACGTTCGTCCTGGCCGCTCAATCGCCGAAGAAGTACTACGTGCACAACGACATCTTCCGCTATCAGGATCTGTACATCGAGAACGAGCAGGACGGCGAGTCTCGATCGGAGAACGATGAGGAGCACGACGTGCAGGTGGTCGGCGGCACTGTGGATCAAGCTGTGCAGGTGGCAGGCGACGTAGTTGCCCAGCAGCCGCAGCAACAGCAGGCTCCTCCGCAGCCGCAGGCTCAGGTCGTGGTGCCCCAGCAGGTGGCTCCTGTAGCGACCGGTGGGGCTGCCCCACAGCAAATCTTCTACCCATTGCCCGCGGGTGCTGCCGCCGGACGTCCTGTCGCCGTTTTGCCGCCAGCTCCGCAGGCAGCGGCGGTTCCACTGCCCGCGCAGTTCACCGTTCCGGCGCCACAGCCCATCCAGAATGGAGTGGTCTCGCACGAGGAGCTGCAGCAGCAGCAGGTGCTGGTCCCACCCAGCGTGTCTCCCCTGCTGCAACAGCAGCAGCCGACCGGCACGCCTGTGTTGCCCATTGTCCCAGTGCCAAGCGCGGGCTTCCAGCAGTCGCCACTGGTGGCACCGCAGCTCATCCAGCAGCAGCCACCGGCACAGCTGCCCCCGCAGCAGCAGCAGCAACCTATCCAGCAGCAGCCTCTGCAACAGCAGCAACAACCGCTGGTGGAACCCGAGGAAGTTGAGGTGGCACCAAGGCAGCAGAAGCCACCCACGCCCGTCGAGGATTTCAAGACCATTCACGAGCAGCAGCAGCAGGAGAAGTACGAGGCCGCCAAGCAGCAGCAGAACGAGCCCAAGACGTACGCGAATCTCTTCAAGTCCACGTCCTCCTCGCCCAGCGGCTTTGTGAACGCCGCCCTGCAGCAGCAGCAGCAACTTCAGCAGCAGCAGCAACAGCAGCAGTCCATCAGCAGCAACACCTATAACTCTTCCTCGGCATCCGCGGGTGGCGGCAATGGCAGTCAGGTTAGCTACTCCACCACCGCTTCGTCCTACAACAACAGCAATGGCAACTCGCGACTGGACAACGGTGGTCCGCTGCCGCAGCGAAACAACTCGATCCGTAACAACAAGGGTGGTAAGTTCTTCAATCCACCCTTAAATTAAACGAGGTCATTCCCCTATATTCGGCTTCAGAGTAAAAACCCTTAAATATCATGTGAAAACAGTGTTCTCTAAGAAATACTTATTTAGTTTTCTTTAGGTTTTTCGTTCAGTTCTTTGATAGGTAATGAGTCATTTTGTTGGTTTATTGTCTTATTAGATAACTATTCCAACTTAATGTTGGTTTATATGATAAGCAACATAGAGTTATTTGACTAACAAATTATTCTTCATATTTCACAGACTTTGAGCAGCGTCGCTCGAGCAACACGCAGCAATTCGGTGACAACCAGCAGTTGTTCTTGGGCAATATACCACATCACGCCAGCGAGGATGATCTGCGCGAAATCTTCTCACGTTTCGGAAATGTCCTCGAGCTGCGCATCTTGTCCAAGGCTGGCAACAAGGTGCCACCAGGCATGCGCAGTCCGCTGAACTATGGATTCATTACCTACGACGATCCAGAGGCTGTGCAAAAGTGCTTGGCCAACTGCGTAAGTTCGGCACAAACTAGATTTAATTATTGATAATGCAAAGTGCAAACCGAGAGATTAACGCCTTACTTATACTGTTGTTAATAGTTGATCTAAGCATATTCTTTCCATTTCATAGCCCCTGTACTTCCCGGAGAA